TATAAAAATGTGAATTTGATTATATATATATATATATATATATATTGATAATTTTGGTGAATCCATTGCACAGGTGTATGCGCAGTGCCGGGAGCGCGACTTGTTTGGGTGTGTGGACGTGGCATATTTGTTGAGCTTTTCCATGATCATGCTCAACACGGACCTGCATAACGCCAACATCCGGGCGGATAAAAAGATGTCGTGCGCCGATTTTGTCAAGAATAACGTCAACTATGGCCTTAGTAACCAGGGGACGCCGCTGCCCGAGCCATTTCTCATCTCCATCTACCACAACATTGCAACCAACCAATTCCGCACGTCAGACACTGACCCGTTTGGTCCCGACAGGTACTGAGAAATATATATAATAGTATTTGGGGGGTGATTTGGTTGTTTGGATTAGATGGAATGACCTGCAGAGATTGGCCAATGTTGAAGACAAGGCAAACTGGATGACAAGTGTGGCCCGCCAACATCATCAGTACGACCCCCTTGTGCTCCAAGTGGTCGCCCTTCGGCTCTTGGACACTGCCCCAACGCTCGTACGTGTATTGTATATATATATATATATATATATATTCACGTTATTATATATATGGTGTGGGGTACAAACTTGTTTGTGCTGAGAGTTCGTTGGTTTACAACCCCCCATAGTAGTACGCTTTACATACAGTCAGTCTATTCGATCACGATGTAAAAGCATTTGGATAAATTTGATGATTTTGGATAACGTTTTGATGAATTTCGATAAATAGTTTGGATAAATTTGAAGATTTTGATAGATTCATTCGTCGAATCGCCGCGTGGGTGACTTGGCGATGCAGTTGGTGGTACTCACGGGGCTCGTGTCCGCTTCGCTGCGCAGCGCCGCGCTAGTCGACCGCGTCGTCCAAGTGCTGGCAACTGCCTCCACCCTCCTAGATACCATCGACACTCAGGAGACGCTCCAAGGCGCCACGTACGTAGTCTGCTTTGGAGTCTTTTTCTATATATATATATAGCCACATTCCACTCGTATTTATATATATATATATATCGTGTATTGTAATGT